TCTCCCAAAATTAAGGAAATCGAGGATAATTAATCTGTCCTTTGATTTACTGCTGCACCGCTTTATTCTATTACATTCGCAGCAGAGGGAATCATTTCATTTGTAAGTAAAAGCAATTGCATCATGCTATATATTTTTATGTAAATACCACAGAGCCATGAAATGTCAAGAAAATGTGTCACCAGCTGAAGTATGACCATGTTCAAAATCCATAGAAGTGGAGACATGGAAACCATCCCAGTGGTTCTGTTTACAGAGCAGGAGCTTCTAAATGTTCCTCCACCAGCGTTGGAGGAATTGCAGATTCATTTGTTAATTCTGCATCAGTACACAACACTGAAATACACCAACAGGTTCACAAATTTGGTTAAACATGTAAAAACAATGTTCATTTGTTCAGTCAGAGCAGTCAGGAGTAGAACAGCCAATGTAAAATAAATAATAAAGAAACTGAAAACCTCAACAGCTTGACTACTTTGGTTAAAAAGGTTCAGAAAGTCCAATTAAGAATATATATATATATAAAATAAATAATGAAGCATGATGTCGCTCAGAGAACAAAGCATAGAATTAGAATGAATAGATCTGCCTTATGGATTGGGATCATTGTCATTGATACCCAATCTAGAATTTTTTTTCAATATTAGGACCTATGCGGATATTGATGTTGAATCAGTGCATCGCTAGTAGAGATAATAATGTATAATGCACCCAGGAGATTTCATCCATCCATCCATTTTCTTACACCCTTGTCCCTATCGGAGTCTGGAGGTGCTGGTGCCCATCTCCAGCGAACGTTTTGGGCGAGAGGCGGGGTCACCCTGGACAGGTCACCAGTCTGTTGCTGGGCAACACAGAGACAGACAGGTCAAACAACCATGCACACACACACACACACACACACACACAAACACACACACACACACACACACACACACACACACACACACACACACACACACACACACACACACACACACACTTAGGGAGAATTTAGAGAACCCAATTAACCTGACAGTCAAGATTTTGGACTGTGGGAGGAAGCCCACATCATTTTATTAATGTAATGCTCTTCCAGAAGAGCTTTAAGCATGTTCACTTATGAGCTGAAGTAGACTAGCTGCTGCAGCTGATCGACTAACTAACCAAATATCATCTTATACTTGAGTTATTCTATAAAGTGCAGATCTGAAAACAACACACATTAAAACTATTAGTATGTTGTTTTGTCGACTTCCATCAGGAAAAAAAAAAAAATCATCTATGTTTAAAGACATTTTTAGGAGCTAATGTGTGTGTGATGCTCAGACTCTGATCCTCAGACTCAAGAAAGTCCTGAGTTTGAATCCTGGCCAGATTCTCTCTGTGTGAACTTAGCCTGTCCTTTACGTGTTTAAGTTGATGATCTGCCTCTGCACAATGAACTGACATGTAAAACTGGAAAACTGTGTTGTTGCCTTTAAATCTGCTAGTGTTCAACAGTTCTTTCAGCAAGAAAGATCTTCTTCTCTTCCTGTAAACTATCCAGATGTCACTGCGGAACATGAAGTCTAACACATGTTAACATTGTTTCTGTTTAGTGCCTAACAGGGATTAGTCTAGTCACATGCACACTTGAGGGGGAAAGATTAGATCTATTTGGCACATTTCAGTCCTTGCCTCAGGGAAAACGACTGAACATAAGTCGGATGGGTTGCAGTCAAAACATCCATTAGCAATCCGACTGAGTTGAGCTGCTGTTTCCGTGGCAGGCAGATGCTCAGGCGGGACGCCTGACAAGGACTTTTCCTATCGTAAATGCAACAGCCTGGGTAGAAGTCTATTAACAACATGAACACTTTTAATGAAGAATAGTTGGATTCCAAATGTATTTGTTTGCAGCTAAACACGACTCGCTCAGGGTGTGAGGTCCACTCAGGCCATCTCTTGAAGAGATTTTCCTTCACCTTTTTAAACAAACGAAAGCAGAAAATGAAGACTGTCTGGTAAGTACAGTCACATGTGTTATCCCATCAGTGTCTCATCACGTTTCACATCTGCATGCAGTTTAATTTTAGAGTCTCATTGCAGTCGCACACGGTTTCGTTAGGTAAGGAGAACCACAGACAGTAGACTCCTGTTCTCCAGACACATGTGGGTTTCTCAGACGGGAGAAGAAAGCGGGGGTGACTGCAGATTTCCCTTGCTGAAGTCCACTGCTATGACTCCGCTGTGAGACATCCAGCGAGTGTGTCTCTTAATGCCCCCAGGCAGGAGCGGTTCACTTATGACGCAGACTTGAAGTTATCAGGATTGCAGAAGTAGAAGGGAGTATGACCTGAGGGCCACTTTGCTCATCTCTTTGCCTTTTTTCCCCCACTTAGAATAAGCCTGTTTGCTGGTCCGAGCTGAGGAAATGTGTCACAGTGTCTGGTGTTGGTAGAAAGAGTTCTGTGTTTAGTGATGGAATGTCTTCCATCACCTAGGTAACTAAGTCATGTCTGCCCATTTGCAGGACTTAGTTACCTGCTTTCATAGGTCACTCCAGGTCACAGGGCCAAACAGTGCATGTTTGTATGTGTTCTTGAGGCCGAGCTCTTTCATCGCCTGTGTAATGAAGTCCAGATGCTCATGCAGATGGTCACCAGCTCACCCTAACAATGGAACCGTCCTTAGCAGCTGCCTGAACCAAAGTCCAGATGTGTCTGAGTGACGCTGAGAGACCAACGGACAGAATCTGGGACACTCAGCAAAAAGAAGATGAGAAAGGATTCAAACGGCACCAGAGATGGGTGATGTGCTGCCTATTAAATGTTCACAGCAAAGGAACATTTACGACTAAATGACCCATAAATCAGCTTCCTGGCAATATTTACAAATGCCAAAATATGAGCTATTAGCCTCATCTGAGCAAGCATTTGTTTCAATGGTGACATACATCACTTCTGATATCACCCTAATATCACCCTCTCATACATTAACACTGTAACACACAGAAGCTAAACAAGGCTGCCACTGATTCCTTTGAACAAGTGGAAAAATTATGCGACTGTTGCTGCTCTCACATGCTATGCAAACCAAACAAGTGCATCTCTGCACATTGAACTATCCATGAACGAAGTTCTTTATCATTTTTCAACCACTTGGGGTTAGTCACAGAGGATCAGTATCATAATCGCAGATGGTTAGTTGATAGTTTGATATGAAGAAAATTAAAACAAGGTGGACATATCACAGAAAAGAAACACAATAGAACCCTGATTTCCACACTGCTGATTCCAATAGACATGCTCTATTCAGAACAGACAAGCATGAAAGGAAACACGCATCCTTCAAAGATTTGACAGGACCTGACATCCCATGAAATGAATTTCCTTTTAACATTATTTATAACTATATCAGTTACTACAGTCATGTGACAAAATTAAACTAGATATACATAAATACCGTCACAGTGCTGATGAAGGTCGAGGCAGAGTAAGACGGAAGCACCAAAGTTTCATTTTTCTCTAGAACAGAATCAAGAACAAACCAAAAGTAGAACTGCAGCCTGAAATGGTCTCAGCTGTGAAGAACCAAACCACCTTTAATTCACAGGCGACTTCACCAATTTACCATCTGTAGAAATAAAATCCATTTTACCAAATACAAATATTTAATGTTTTATCCTTACACCATAAGCACCATTATGAAACAATAACCACCCCAAACAATTCCCCTCCAGCCCCACTTTTCCATGGCCTCTTCCAGAACCTATAAATGGTGTCTGGATCCCTGGGGAAGTGTTTGTCCAAACACTCTGGAAAAGTCATAGAAAATACAGGTGAGTCACTCCAGCTTAGCACCTCCACACTTAACAGATTCTACACAAATATTTGTTTAAGTTTTACTAGCCGGCAGCCCTTCTTTATTTTAGGTAACAATTATCCTGCCCTCACAGGCAACCACCTCACTTCTCAAAGACGAGCAGCTGTGCCGATTATTATTGATGTGCAAATCTATGCTTAATGTGAAGCACTAGATAAAGTGCTAGTTAAAGTTTTAGTTTTAAAGTGCTATGCTAGTTACTTAAGTAAAAATAGTCCCAGTAATGAGGGCCTCTTCAAAATTTCCGTCTTCATGCACAAGAAAACACATGCTGTGTTTCCATTTGAAAAGTCCGCAAGCCTTTGTCGATATTCTGTCGATATTGTGTTAAAAAGCACAATTTTGAAATTACGATGTTTGAATTAAACAAGAAATGAAATTAAAATCACATGTATAAGCTTCGTCACGTGATAAGTCATTAAAAAGCATGGTAGCGATGAATGTAAACAGTTACAAGAGTAATATTTATATTTCAGACATGTTGCTAAGCGCTCATCATCAACCAATCAGAGGAGAACTCAGGCATTGGAGCAACAAGACCCGCCTACCTGGGAGAGACTACATGAGCTGCGTTGTGGGGAAGTGGTACTCCACAAGCGCTATGGATTCAACATCAAATAATGAATCCATAACATGGAATGACACACAACTTTTTATAAACTGTGATGCTGTGAGAGCTCGGCTGGAGACAGCTGCACATTGAAAAACACAAAAACAAACCATCATCCTCCTGCTTTTTTGTCTTCTTTCTCATTTATGCCAGTAGTATCGTCCTGATGTTTCCATTTCAGTTTCGCGAAATACACCAACTTCGATGCAGCTGAACAAACCACCTCATCCTATTGCAAAATTTTTTATCGGAAAATTTTAGCCTTTTCTGTATTGCCGTTTTTCCATTAAGCCAATTTATTTTTGTAATTTCAAATTACGCAAATCGGAATTATAAAAATAACTTTGCTTAATAGAAACACACCAGCTTTGACAAAGCTTGACAAAATGTTTTGGTGCTGGGATGAGGTGACTTTTCAACATTATCGAACTTTGTGTATTTCGCAAAACTGCAATGGAGACACTTTTTTTCCACATCACACGAGTCACTCCAGTTTGTGTATAAAAGCAAAACGCTTATTTTTTGGCACTGGCTTTCTTGGACATTTATATTTATTTTATTTGTGGGTTATAGTCCTGAACTGACTGTGGCCATTAAAGTCACAGTAGGACACAGCAGATGTTTGGGATGTTTGATCTGGGGTTCAGCAGCAGAGCAGGGAAGGAAGACAGTAGCAGCACTAAGGTTACACAAACAGGACATCCGGAATTCATTCTCACAACACACACAGATACATAACAGGCCGGGAAATGAGCTGGGCTCAGAGACAATGACTCAAACTGTCAGAGAGAGGTGTGCAGGAATCAGTGCCTAACCCTAAATACTCTAAAGGGTTTTTACGGTGACAAATTAACTCTTTCTGTAGAAAATACACCTTTAAGTCATGCATTTTGAAAAAAGCATATTTGAACATTTTGTTTTTGTAATATTTCTTACATTTTATACAGTCAGAGCTTCACAAAGCAAAACCTGCTCTAAAAATAAAAGCTAAAAATAAATTATTATGCCGGTCACATATAGTACGGTTCCTTTGGGAAACAGTGTGAATTCACTATAATTGCCGTCCACAAAAAAAAGTTCAAACAGCAAAATCTACAATATTATCAAGTTTTTGTTTCCCAGTTATTAATAATTACTATTCTCAATAGTTTAATTCCTTCATTTGCTGTTGGATTCACCTCAGTGAAACAGAAAGGAGCACATTACTCTCTTGTTTTGTTGGGTTACAGTGAGAATCTGAGTTAGACCTGGAAGGTCAGACCTCAGATAAAACTGATGGGTCAGTCAGCAAACACCAGAACCAGATACAACAGTTGGAACCAATTTTTGTGCCTTTAGTTTATATGACCTTTGTTATAAATCGATGCTTAAGAAACGACTGAATCTGAATCTTCATATTACAGGTTCTTATACTGGAGTTGAATTGTTGCAACTTTGCTTGTTTTCCTTGCATTAGCTCCAGCTGACTCTCCCACCACCGACCAAAGGAGGTGAGGAATTCCTAGTTTCCTTTAGAAATTCCAGATTGGAGAATTTTGCTGCTTTTAAAGTCTTTCCCCCCATTTCTTTCCTCCACCCGGAATACCTTGTTGTATTTCCATCTAAAAAGTTCCTTGTTTGTACAGACAAAGCGTGGTCAGTCAGGTCTGCAGCTGACCGCTCTGGAGGCGCGGCGGCTTTTGGCAAGACGGGAAATGTGAGTTTTAACTTTGCGGCAGTTTTATAGACAGAAGATGAAAAAAAGACAAGGTAAACTGAGCTGCCATTGTTTTCTCTCTCTTTTTCTCTCACATACACACACCATGGTTCAAAAATACCCCAGGGGCCCTTCAGAAAGACACAAAACAAGCAACCCGCAGAGCTAACTGCCTGATTAGCTGTGCTGCTGTCTGGAGCTACAATACCTTAAAGGACCAGAGACTCGACTGATGAGACAGAAAAGATCCATCACAGCAACTAAGTGACCTTAACCCCACTGGGAGCGCAGAGACACAGGACTGAACACAGGTCCTCTCTCACAGCTGTCAGCAAGCAGCAGCTAAACTAAACAAGCGGGACCATTCAGATGAAGTATAACAGCAGGCATGAAAATCTCCTTTTAACACGAATCCCTTCTGTTCCACTGATCGACCACGCCAGAGGAAATGCATCAGCCACCTCCAGCTTGTCTTCTGAAACCGAACCGGCTCATTGGGCTTAACGAGCATTCTGCATTTCACATTCATTAATCAGTGTTTAAAAGACAGCAAGAAAGACTACTGTCAGGTGGCATTGCTTTTTAACGCGCACTATCTCACTCCACTGCCAGTCACACAGTCCAATTAATGCCTTTCCAGATTCCCTTTCTTTTGGATTGCAAATGGAAGCAGAATATTTTAGGTTTTCTGAAAATGTTTTGATTTATTTCCAATTACGAGCTGGCATGGGCCGGCTCGTCATTAAATGATTTTGTTTCTTACCAAATCCAGTTCTTTCCTTTCAGCTATTCTTTCAGCAAGAATAAGTTCCAAAGCAAATGCTAGGCTAGGTTTAGCCTTGTGAGCAGCTGCATTAGCCTATCAGCCATTCTCTTACATTTCCTGTCACTCTGTCCCTCATTCGTTCCTTTTTTATACAAAATTCTCCCACATAGAATGGCTCCAAACTCATTTAAAAGTGTTGGAGGTTCCTCCAGTGCTTTTGTAACCGAGTACTAGCTCAACTAAAAAAACAGCATCTATGTGTCTTTTTTTAATTTTTTATCTCAACATAAAACTATAACAGGGCTTGAAACTTCAAACCGTCATATTCCCAGCTAGTAATATCAGCTAACGTTGATTTCACCATAAACAAACATTTAGGAGTGACAAAAAAGAGATTGTTCTACAGCATTGACTATAAAAAGTCCTAATTGCTTTCAAATTAGCCAACTGGCATTTCTGTCCCCCGCCTACCCAACCTGCTTGTGTTTTCTACAAGAGGTCATGACCCCGGAGGTCCTGGGAGAGAGGTGAGCGTTTACACTGGAGGGCCGAGGAGGATTCCCAGGCCAACCAAACATGCCTCAGCCATAGAGACTCTACAAGACACTTCATCTGATGGACAGCAGTGGTGCTGCTGTGTGTTTGTCCCCCAGACAAAGACCAAAACCGAGAGTGAAGGACGGAGTGGAGTCAGGACGGAGCAGTTCGCTGGGTGATTAAGTCTTTTCTCGAAAAAGGCAAATAGCCAATAACAGAGGCAGGAACAAGTGTTTTAGGGGAAGTAAACCTCACTAAACACACACTCCTCAATGGTCCCAGTGCCACCAGTATAATAAAGCATAAATACATGGTGCCGGGTTTAAATCCAGACTCCTGCGCAAACATCCTGCTGAGGACGGTTCCTTTGGAATCAGAGAGGAGCACCCTATCATCGCTGAGTAAGACATCAGCTTTGTGACCTGAGTGTACAAAGTGTGTGTGTGTGTGTGTGTTTGTGTGTGTCGATGCTGATGTAATGTCTGTAAAGATTGGCACACCCCTGGAAGCCAGATCCAGGGGTCTTCAAGAGCAACTTAATAGAGTCTAAGTTCAATTTTAGAATCAATTCTCCCCTGGAGGACAATTTAAATATGTTTAACAAAGGAAACGTCTCACTGCTGAAGGTCGCAGCAGTTATGAAATTATTTTCAGTTGCTCGTGTGTGTGTGCTGGGTAAATTTATTAAAACTATATTGTTTTCTTCTTTATATTCCTGACAGCCTTTGTAAAACAGGGAAATTATACAATATTATAATTAAACTGAACAGTATGGCTAAGATTAGATAACTGTAGAACTGTAAAGCTAATATTAGAGATGTATAGTATGAGCCGATTTTTTTTGTATGATTGGCTGAGATTGGTGATCAGCCAATCACCTTGATCAAAAATCACATTTTCCTACTTTATGTGCTTTAGCCACATTAAAAAGTGAAAATCAGCCAAAAAAAAAAAAAAACAAAAGTCAACAGGCCAGGCCATTACTACAGTAATTTATGCTGTTATAACAAGCCCTTTTTTATAGTTTAAGTTAGGAAATAGTGTTTTAAATGTCTTAATAATATGAAATTGAGCTTCTCAACCACAAAAAAATCTGTTTTACCAGTCAGTAACAGTCATCCCCAGTGACTACAATTCTCCCAAAGTACAGCATCATGGTGATTTTCCTTCAAGGGATTAGAAATAATAAGTGACTGTTGCTGCCAGCGGCAGAACCGTTGAGTCAAAAAAAAAAAAAAAAAAAAAAAAAAAACTGGTAGATCTGCACACACTGGATCTCCCTGGATCAGTGGGAGCAAATCTGCTCCATCTCACACTGTGGAGCCTGAAATGTCCCTCTGTTCTCCGCTGTCATGTCATGTTTCATCTCACACTGAATCACAACGTCGCTCTGAAAGCAGGAGGATAAGGTTTCACTCTGCTGGTGAAAACTGTATAGGAAACTAACTCAATGCAGCAAAATGCATTCAGGCGATCTAAAGGAAGAAGGGAAAGGACATGAGACTGTAGGAGACAGGAAGGAAGGAAGGAAGGAAGGAAGGAAGGAAAGAAGGACAACAGAGATTTGAGGGAGTTCAGCAAACTTTATAAAGTCTTCGAAATAAAATGTGTCAAACATAACAACAACAACAACAACAACAATAATAATAATAATAATAATAATAATAATAATAATAATAATAATAATAATAATAATAATAATAATAAACTGAACAAAGCTTTGAGAAAAATCCAAACTTTCATGTTTTCAAATGTACATAATGCAAAAACTTGTTATTTATGGTAAATTTAAAGGTTTTAGATCAAAGGGCCATCAACTTTTTATTAAAAAAAGACACTAAATCCATTTTGGGTTTTGATGAAAATAAGAAAGGACGATAAATTTAATGTTTGCAGACAATATTACAGACTTTCTGTAAAGAAATTTCATGAAAACACCAAGACAAATTGCTTAATTACATAATTTTCTCTATTCATTAACATCGTTCAGGTTTAGAGTTTTGGAAAAACAGGAGCCAACATGAGGAGTCCAAAGAGCCACATTTGTCTGGACTTTGACTGGGCCATTATGACACATTGAATGCTCTGTAGCTGGGCTATATGTTTAACCTGTAAGGTGTTCAGTTAGCCGGCTCTTCAGCAGGGCCGAGCGCAAAACGATTTGCGCCTGCTGTCTCTCCGGCTCTTCTTCTGTATTTCGCCCCGCCCCTCTTCACGTGAACTAATCAGCTCCTGATAGAACCGCACCACCCCCCTCCCCCTGCATGATGCTGCCACCACCATCAGGTTTCACAGGTTTCACATGGTTTTCTACAAGACTGTCTCATGTGAGCAGAACCTTCTGCTGTTCCTATGGTTTCTGGTTTTCATTCGGCTTTTACAGTTATAACGTTTGTTACCTGCGCAGCTTTTTTATTTTTTAGACTTAATTGTATTTCTTTAAAAATCCCCAAGAAAGTCTTTTCAACTGATTTCCAGCTGTAAGGAGGAGTAACTGTGCAGCGGGGAAGCGGCCGTGTGCGCCGGAGTTCTGCGCGTCCGAGCGCCTTCTTCCATTCAGCTGAAAGCCACGCCGCCTCGCTGTCCTCCTCCGTACTGGGGCGTGGATTCAACCGAAGAAACAAAACCAGAGCTCCCAATTTAAACCCGATTCTAACAAATCCCCACAGAGACGACCCCCCGCTCCCCACCAGCTCCCCCACTCCGGGCTGCTTCGGGGAGGATTCCCTTTGTTGTGATGATTTTTCACATCAGAATGAACAGACAATCCCTAAATGCTCCCCGGGGATAGTTAAAGCCCAGACAGACTCTCCGTGGTGATCAGCGCCCAGTCTGCGCTCCTTTTGGTCACATCCGGTGCCCACTCGTGCCACAGCTCCGCCGCTGCTCCCCGCAGTGCTTCACTTCGCCAAGACACGTTTTTTTCCCTCTCTCTCATTATACCCAGGACAAAGCCTCCCTCCTTCGCCGCTGTCCTCCGCTGCCCGGCGCAAGCATGCCCCCATGCCACTTGTCTGATGAGAGGCAGCAAGTCCCGCCACATCACAGCGCGCCGTCCCCAACACTTCAGCAACCAAAAGGACAAACAAAAGCGCAACAAGACAGCGCAACGAGCGCCGTGGATGCGCCACACCAACTGCTGCGCGATCTGCGCCTTCAAGCGGGACAATTACTCACCCGCTTGTTTTACTGTACAACCCGAGCATCGACGTGTCAGTGTGCCAAGAGGCCACACACACTCTCTCTCTCTCACACACACACATACACACACATCCTCACACAGACAGCTGTAAACACACAGGAGAGTAACAGAAAGAAGACATGAAGCTCCTACCTGGCTGGAACATACTTTGAAAATAAAAGATGACCAAAATAAAGGATCCCAAACAAGTGGCAAAAAGCATCCGGCATATCCTGCTCATCCTCATCAGCTCGCCCAGAGTCTGCTTCATCAGGACGGAGAGGCTGCGGAGTGCGGGAGGGGGGACCAAGGGGAAGCTCCGGGGGCTCTGCTTGGTACTGATGAGGACTGTTCGCCGGTCAATGAGACAAACGCATCCAGCTTGGAGCGTACCACAGCGGCGCTGCTGGACGGGTGTCCGCCCCCCTGCTCTGAGGAAATGAGCTCGTCCACATGTGCTCTCTCTCTCTCTCTCTCTCTCTCTCTCTCTGAGGTTCTGCTCGCTCAGAAACTATTTTTTTTTCCTTATTAGTTGAACATATCCAATACTAAAACCTATTTCTAAATGATGAAATTATTACTTAAGTCGTAAAGATACAAAGTAAAGTAAAGCAGTTTATCTGTTTTACTTTATTTACCTGCCAGAGTTCTGGAAGTTACACTTAATAGTATTATTTAGAAATAGGAAAACAAGAAACAGGATGTGGGCTTCAGGGAGGCGTCTTAAAATTAGAGAAAAAAAACCCATGAACTATTGTCTGAGTTGACTCAAATTTAGAACATTTCAGCATCAAGGCATTTCAAAGTGTTTCATCATACAGTCACCAACTATGAAACTAACATAAACCTTTTGACATCAAGTAAATATACATCAGAGAAGTTGATCAATGTTCCACTTACTACTAATCAAAGGCCATTCTCATCATCAGGTTGGTGGTAGCTGTTTCTTAGCTTGGCTCATTAATTAAAAAGCAGCGAGCCAAGCTGCTGTCAGAATACTGCAAGGATGTTTTTCAGAGACAGACCGTAGCAACAGGAGGATGATACTGGACACAACCAGGAGGACTGAGCTGACACAGCGACCGTCTCCTGGCAACCTGGACTGGAATGTGTTGCTGCTATCACTCACAACTTTTGCCATTTAAGTTGACATTAACATTTTGTAGATATCTCTATGGCGTCTTTAGAAACGTCATTGATCGACTTAACAGACTTATGCTAAGTAAAAAAAACAAAAAAAAAAACAACAACATAGTTCTATAACCTGCAGTGTTGGTGGTATT